CTAAATTCAGAAATTTTAAATCTTTAAATATTTATTGCCTACTCATTTCTACTTTGAGAATTCTAATTATATGAATATAAGTTTTTTGGTTTTGACGCAGTGAACTCATATGACTGATCTGTAAATTCTTTCTTCATTTTTATTTTGGACAATTTTTATTGTCATTTTCATTTATGTTTGTAAATAATTTATTTTCAATTTGCAATCTATTAAAAAATTAAAATAACAAAAAGAGCACAGGTGAGACTAAGTGTGAAGGGACGGGGACAAGACTGCTGTCCAAGTGTGTGGCAGAGTGAGGTGACAGTGAGTTCAGGGGTGACCACCTACACACCAAAGGGCCTGAATTGGGCCAGAGTATGCAGCTTCTGGGGAACACGTATTGGAGGTAGAGGCACACAGGGTCCAGTGTAATAAATAACACGGTGTGACTGGGTCAGAGATGCCCCCTGACAGGTTCCTGAACCTGCTTTCCTGAACCTAAGGCCACTGGCAGAGCTCATGGTTGAGGAGCTGCCCGCTTGGAAAGTGTGGTTTTGGTCCTGTCACACTGCTCACCCCAGACCAGGGCCTGTGCCCTGGGAACACACCTCTGCTGCCCACCAGATCAAGGGGTGGCACAGTCACCCTGGGGCTGAGCTGGGGCCGCCTCCCCTGCCCTCCCTGGCTCTGATTTTCTCTAGCCTCCAAAAGGCTGTGGTGGTATTGAATCTGGAAGCAAAATCCCTGAGGCGCAGGGAGCGCCAGAGTCTCATAGACACTGGGCAGCATCCAGGTCTGGGCACAGTGCCCATCTGTCCCAGAGCTTTGCAGGGCTATTGGTGCAGTGCTGGGACAGGATGGTGGCACTTCAGGACACGGAGCTTGAGCTGGTAGCAGGTTTCTTGGAACTAGTGGCAGGAAGATCTATATTAAGACTTTTCTATCACACCAAATAGAGACTGAAATAAAGGTCGAAAGGAATGAGGCAAAATGCTTTTACACGGAACTTGTGCAAGTGGAGGGGACCTTAGAGAACAGAATGGCATTTATTCGCTGAGCCCCAAGGTATTTGCTGACACAATGACACCTCTGTCCCAAAGAAAGGCACTGGAAAGAGCAGTTTCTCTTTGAAGTTCGAGGCTGCCAAGCTGGGTAACTCACACCAGCTCTGTTTGGCAGGCTCCCTGCGTGGTAGCAAAAGGTCGGCCCATTCCAAAGGAAGTCAGATGAGTCACCTTGGGCTTGTCGTCATCCTCTGGGTGGCTTCTTGGTGGACACCCCAAGTTCTCTTGCTCTGGCAGTGGGGAGGGGCCAAGGGTAGGAGGAGGGGCTGTGGGAAGGAGCTCTTTCAGCTGAAGCCCTGGGGAAGGGGATGGGGCCCCACGGTCATTACAAACATGAGAGGAGAGGGCAGGGGTCCCAGAGGCAGACTTTCTTCCTGCCCTGGAGCTCCAGCCTGCAGCCGCTCTGGGCTGACCAGGCCCTGGCACAGCATCTACCCAAGAGGTGGTGTAAATTCTCTCACCAGGCTGAGTTGGAGCGTCCCATGTGACCTCAGTGAACTCAGGACCCAAGACACAGTGGAAAAGCTCTAAGAGCACAGGGGTCAGGAATTACTTTCAAGTTCGCATTATTCAAATTTCCACTGCAGTGGTACTCAAGTGCTACAGTTTTTGAAATCTGACACTAACCAACACTGCCCCATTCCTTCATCTGTAGCACGCAGACTACAAACTGGATGGTCTCCCTGCCAGTGCCAGGCAACATCAAGATGACTTATCCTCCCAGATGGGGGATGGTGAGCAGCACTGGCTGCTGCGGGCATAGGAAGCTCTGAGAGTTGGTGGGACCCTCTTCCACTGGGGATGGAATGAGAGGCTTCGCACTGGGATAGTGTTTGTTTATTTTGAGACAAGTTCTTGCTATTTAGCCCAGATGGGCAAATCATTGCCTACTTCTGAACACACTGGCAATCTTTTCCTTTGGAAGTATGTATTACATATTCATTTCACTTTATGACTTGTTTTTTCACTCTGAGTGGCAACTTTTTTTTTTCTTTGACCCACTAAGTCCACCTGAGGGTGGGGCTGGTGTGGAATGTGTTGCTGGGGATTGAACTGAAGTCCCCTGCATCAGCCTAAACTTGCCTAAGCAGGTGCTTTAGACCACTGAGCTGTCCTGCCAGCCCTCAGTGGCAACTTT